CGATGTCCTCCTTTTAGTTTGTGTGGAGCTGTCCAAATGAATCTTATCTCCTGGGTCTGATGGAGATCATGGTCACAGAAGATCTTGATGCTAGCAGGACCACTTATCTCCTCTTTCTTACTCCTCAGATGCTATCTATCCATTAGGGGTCCCCCTGTGGAAGGCTTGGACCTGCTGTGCATGGGGCGTGCGTGTGGAAACCACTTCAAATGTTCGTTCCTTTCTTTTGGACAGGCTGAAGGGGTTAATTACAATACATCCTTAGTTGCTCGGGCAGGAGATGGAGGTTTCTTTCACAGTTCAGGCATGAAGTTTGCTTCCTTATACACCTCCAGGCTCTTAGGGTATGGTTGGAGCCACTCATCTGTATGGGAGTGAAAGGCAACTGCCTTGGTTGTGTGGCTCACTGATTTCTTCACAGGTTGCCTACACCTTCTAGAAAAAGCTTCTTGAGCTGTTCATCTTTTCCCCCACCTCCACTGCCCCCTGACGCGATCTCATTCTCTTCTCCAATTCTTGCTCCTAAGTACTTTTTCAAACCTGTTGCCTTGCAAGAGACATGCCAGCCACAGCACATGTGCCCTTGGCTTAACCACAAGTCTGTATTTTCAGTGTCCTCCTCAGCCTTCATAGATGAAAACTGGGTGAAATAGGTGGGGACAGCAAAGGACTAAACAGCTGTTTTAGGAATGAGATCCCCAGACACCCGTACTTCAAGCCAAACAGCAAATAAGACCTGGGGCATGCAACATTACAGCAAAGGAGGAGGCTGAGGAACCCCAACAAGTTCAAAGCCCCAGCGCTTGATTCCAGAATTGTTAAAGCTGAGCCCTTCTTGCCCAAGAAACTGTCTTGGCAGCCTGTTAGTTTTGATTTGAAAATTGATAAATGAATGGAGGAGTTAAGAGTCAAAGAAGAAATCAGAGGATGAACACTTTTAATTTCCTTCCAGATCTTGCCCTGCTGTGGAATATTCCTTTACACTGTGGTTGTTTTGGTAGAGAAGCGGACTGGCCAATAACTGAACAGGTAAGTTTGTGCAGGAGAGCCGCTGCACTAGGAGAATGCTGGAAGAAGGAAGAGTGGAGTCTGGAGTCACCAGCCTGACACAGAGGGAGCAGGAGAGGAGCGTGCCATGTTAATTAAAATTAATACAGGTCCCACCATGTGGCAGAGCGTAAATAAGGGATATGGGCTTACTTAAAATGTAAGAACTAGTGGAACCAGGCTGTATCCCTGGTGCACAAAAGGACTTTGGGAACACGTTCCCCATGGAGGGATACTCTCTTAACCTAGAGGCAGGAGAGATGGGACCTAGTCCCTACTCCAAATAACTTGACTGATTTAGATGACCCTTCCAGGAAGGCATCACCCTAAATGTGGAGTTAGGGGGAGTTAGGGGGTTAGGGGGAGGGGTGGTCGGGGGGCATGGGAGGGTGGAAGAAAGGGAGGGAGGGAGTGATGGAGAAGGAACTGGGATCAATATGTAAAATAAGAAAAATAAATAAATTTTAAAAATGTAAGAACTAGTTAGTAATAGGCCTGAGCTATTGGCCGAGCATTTATAATTAATATAAGCCTCGATGTGTTTCATTGAGAGTGGCTGCAGGACAGGAAAACTCCACCTACATTGCCCTACTAAGACTAAGCATCTGCTGTGGGTGTTCCATCAAAGAAGGTACCTCTATTCACTGTGCACAAGTCACCAGCTTTTGCACCAAACAACAGCAGGTTCACCAGAGACAATGGTGACTGAAACAGCAGAAAGTAGCAGCTTACTTCAGGACTCATCACTTATCATGTTCTCCCAGGAGCTCTTCGCTCCCTAGAAGCAGCAGAAGTTTCCAAAGGAAACTGCCTGAAAAGGATGCCCAGAAAATGCAGCATTTGTAGAAAGACAGGCAGCAGGGAGCAGGGCAGAAAAAGGAGGAGCTGGGCAGACTATGTAAAGAACTAGAATGTAAAGCAAATCCAATCATATCTGTGCACCATGTTTTGCAGTGCCCATGATGGCCAGAAGAGAGAGTCAAAGCTCCTAAAACCAGGTCTATAGATGTCAGTGAGCTGCCCTGTGGGTGCTGGGAATCAAACCAGGGTCCTCTGCAAGAGTAGCTAGTGCTTCTAAATACTAAGCCACTGCTCCATCCCACCTTTAAATGGCTTTAAATCAGTTAAACTGCCTCTTTAGAAATCCTGTCTTATTGGAGAAGTGGATAATTTGAGAGGGAGGTCTGGAAGCTTTCTAAATCAAGGCTGTGTAACTTCTGTCAGAATACCCTTCCGAATTCCATTAACTTCTTCTCCAGATGCCATCCAATCACAAATGTTGTATCTTCAAATGAGCTTTTTAATCATCTGGTAAATGCAGACAGAAGTTTCTGGCCCGCCTCGTCCTGCAGCTGTTTAGTCCCAAATAAACACACAGAGGCTTATATTAATTATAAATTGTTTAGCTGATGGCTCAGGCTTCTTATTGGCTAGCTCTCTTTTAATTATCAACCTGTTTCTATTAATCTGTGTATCTTGGCAGAGAATGCCCAGGCAGCCTACCTTCCCAGTAGCTGCAAGGAGTCTCCCTTATGACTCACTCTCTGCCTTCCCAGAATTCTCCCAGTCTGGCAGTCCCACCTATACTCCCTGCCTGGCTACATCCTGCCTGTCCATTGGCTGAAACAGTTTCATTCGTCAACCAATAAGGGAAACATATATTCACAGCATACAGAAGGGCATCCCCATCAAGTAAATTCTTTCTTCCATAAGGCTCAGTTCACATAAAATCCTCTTCAGAGTGAGATGGCTCAGGGGATGAGAGGGTTGGGATGTCAGGCTTTCTATACAAGCCTGACAAACTGAGTTTGATCCCCTAAACTTACAGTGGAAGGAGAGGGGATAAGAAACCTCTATTTGCCTTTTTTTTTTTTTTTTTTTTTTTTTTTTTGTGGGCATTGTTGAGGTCCTGCAAGATGGTTGATTGGAAACTGACAAATTTAGGCCAGCAGTTTTGGTTGTCAAGGGGATGTTTGGGCCAGATCAACATCTAACTTGAAGCCCAGTTGTTTGAATTTTTTTTAAGCAAGCCAAAGGACTGTCTTTGGGAACAGAGGGCCTATTGCCCATGATTGTAGTCTAAAAAAAAAAAAATGGGCCAAGGCCAGATTTCTGGTCTGGAATGTCCCCCAGGGACAAAAGTTTCCCTGGAATGAAATTCCCAAGAGTTTTCAGAGAGAAGAAAGAGACTCCTGAAGTGGAGTCAAATTCCCAGGACGCTGCTGTGAACAAATAGATCCTTACCCACATGTGTGCTAAGAGGGGAGTGGCTGATGTTGGATGTAACTCTGGGAATAGCAAAGGCAGGCCTCATGGGACTTCAGGTCTCCTCAGAGGGCAAAGGGAAGAATACTTACCAATTCTGCCAATACTTACTTCAGGCTAAACACCTCCGCAACCCCATTCACCTATCAATGAGGCTGCCATGGCCCCTGATGGGAACTGCTATTTAGCCTTAGTGAGCACTAAGGTGGAGTGGCATTTGGAAGAGAAACTTTCTCTTCCAAATGGGGGTAGGACAGAGGTGAGGAAAGGACCCTGTAGGGCTGTAACACCCTCAAAGCCCTTCCTGGGTTTTGGTACCAATATGCAAGAATATAATGATTACCTGTAAGGAGAAACAAAAGATGAGAATTTAGATGACCTCAAACAGCTGAAGCAGGTTTTTGTTTTTTAAGCACAGAGAAAGATGCTTTCTCAAGCTGTGACCATACCTGACCATGGCCCAGGACCCAGTCACTTGATGACCAGAGCTCAGAGGAATGCAGATTCCATGCTTCAAGCTGAAGTTTGAGTGGATGAGGAGGGGGGGACACAGTGGGAAGGTAACTCTTTCCCTTAGACAAGCGGTTTCTGAAACTACACAGTCCGCTGTCTCCTTTTCTTCTGCAGTCCCCAAACATCTGGCTTCCTGGAACTTGGAATTCGGTTTCAGGGCCTTGGCTTTGGGAGAGGTTCTTTCCATTTCCAAGTCCTAAAAATCGCCTACATTGACAAGTGGCCATCTACTGTGTAAAAATGTTTTGTCAATTACTAAAAGCTAGTATTAAAGTGGTCACTTCCTAATCTGCAAACAAAATTACTTCAGTGGCTAGTTCAGAAATTCCCCACTTAGGAGGCAGCTTGGAGAACAAAATAGAAGGCTCAACATGAATGTCCCAGTTACCACACTGCTGCAGAGCCAGGTCAATTAGACCTTAGACTAGGAGACATGAAGTCTGGTTCTCTTCCTGGTCCACTCACTGTGTCCCTAGGTGTGGATGGTGGGCACAAGCTCACCATGGCAGGTGTTAACCAAGACAGAAAGCCCCGGTTATTAAGGAAATGCAAAGGAAGTTTTCAATGACTGTTGTTGGCCTCACCCCTCACAGAATCAGATTCCATTCATTAAAATCAGGACAATAATTCCTTGTTAATTACTTCATGTTGCTGTGGGGACCTCAAGGCTAAACAAAGCTCTCAGAAAAGTATAAAGAGCAATTAAGAGTAGGACTGTAGACTAGCGACGTCCTAATCTGAACGTTTGGAAGTTTTTTTTTTTTTTTTTTTTTTTTTTTTTTTTTTTTTTTTTTGTTTCGGCTGGTGCGACAGGAAAGCAGAGCAGAGGACAAGAACACTGCATCGCGCTGGTACCTGCTCCGAAAGAAAAAAAGAAAGGAAGAAATTCAGCTTTGCCGGAATCGAAGGAAACTAAGCCATCTCAAAAGTCAGAACCTCGGAAGGTGATAGCAGAGTCTTGGGGGTCGGGAGCCCATTCACCCAGTGCTGGGCACCTGCGCTTTGAGCATCCTTAGACCCGCAATCCCAGGTCTGTCTGCAGGAGCAGGGCCGGCTCCCGGGCGCCCCCCGGCGGCACCGCCGAGCACTGCCGCTCGCAACGCGAGGGGCGGGGTGGGCTGACGAGTCCGGGGTAGGGGACGGGTTTTTGCGCGGATTGATGGCGTCATCGAAGCGACTGGCCCGGAAGGAAGTAGCGTTCCGAGGGGTGTGGCGGTTTCTGCGGTTGCACGGGGGTTCAGACGTGTACGGAGCGCCTGGAGGGACAGCCTGGTACGCAGCCCCCGCCCCTCAGTGCACGTCGGGCCTCGCTGAGGCTCGGGGATGGAGCTGATCGTGGCGGAGCTCCGGAGCTCTGGCGCCCGCAGCCGCTCACCCTCAGCCTGCCCACCCGGGGGCAGAGAGACCCCCGTGTGCCCAATCTCCTGCCCACGGACCCTTCAGCGGGTCCGAGCGGAAGCTCTCGGTCGTGCCTGTCTCGTGGAGGAGGGCGGGGAAAGTGCGCGAGTTGGGGCGGGGTGAGGGCATTTGCAGAGAGGACGCTGCTGCTGCTCTGCAGCTGGAGGCCGCCACGGTAAAAAAATAAATAAATAAATAATAAGTTAGATCTGAGCGTTGGAATCCGCGCCCTGTGCCAATGGGCCGGTCTGTCACTATAGATTTTTCCAATCTCGGCCCCTGGACGTTTGTGGCCCTCCAGGAGTCCAGAGTACCTCGAGCTGAGGCACTCCCAGTTTCCTATAACCACCGAGCTCGGGGGCAAAGGATATGGGAGAGATCTGTCCCGTTTAAGTTAAGAAGTAACTGGGAAGATAGATGACAGACCAGAGAATTCCTACCTCGGAGCTCAACTCCCTTGCCTGCTGCCTCTCCCCAGAGTCCCAAGGGAATGACTGATAGTTTCCTTAGAAATGGCAGGCAATTAGAAGTAGGAGGCTCTGTCTAGAAATACATAGCCACAGCTGCCTGTCATTTGACATCTGTAATTTGGGCCAACACACTGCAGCTGCCGCTCTTCCCTTCCTTAACGAGTGGGTCCAGTGATAACACGTTAATGATAAGTGAGGCTGTGTTTTGAGCCTGTACCCAGTTGGCACCAGATCTCCCCTAGGTATTGGCAGTATCTGGGGCTAGTGCCTGTTCGCTGGAGTGGCCATTATACTCCCACAATTAAGGAACGGAATGTTGACCAAGAACAAGGATGAAATGAGCTGTAGATCTAGCTAGCATTTTGTTTCTACAACAGGCTGCTTGTGAATTACTTTGGTGAGCTACTGTCAGCACTGCAGCCTCTCTTCCTACATACCAGGCCATGCATTGTCCCCTCTCTTACCTCTAGGATACAGGTTCACTGATGGCTCAGTTGGGAGCAGTTGTGGCTGTGGCTTCCAGTTTCTTTTGTGCATCTCTCTTCTCAGCTGTGCACAAGATAGAAGAGGGTCATATTGGAGTATATTACAGGTAAGGGAGAAACAGGTGGCTCCCTTGTCAATGGCTCGCAGATCCTGCTAGCATCTGTAAGTTTTGTCAAATAGGGGAGCCCTTTTCAGGTGGAGCTACTAAGGCAGTGGCCATGGGTAAGGGCATATGTGTGTACTTATGTAAATTTAAAATTGTCTTTAGCATTTTAAGGCGATACTGATACTTGTATTTATAGGATTACGGGGGGGGGGGGGAAGCTCAAGGACACTACTCTCTTAAGATCTTTTCTGAGTAACTGTTTTTCCTTGCATCCCTTGAAGAATCTTGTCTCCACACCGCCAGGCTACCCCCTCCAAAAGTTGACAGAGTCCCACTTCTTGATGGCAGCTTGAGAACTGTGCTCTACTAATTTGCGAGACTGTTCCATGGTGTTGTTGAATTTGTTTGTTTTCATGCCAGGATTTCTCTGTGTAGTTCTGGCCGTTATGGAACTCCATCTGTAGACCAGGCTGACCTCAGTCTAAGAGATTTGCCTGCCTTTGCCTCCCTACTGCTGGGATTAAAGTCATGAAACACCAGTCCTGGCTTGAGAGAGTGTTTTCAAGTGAATATTTCAAGAAAGTATAAAGACTCTGCAGGCTGATTTATGTCAATCAAGGCAACTTTAGGAGCGTGACCCCTTAAATACTCTTGAGTTACTTTCTTTCCAGTGGCTTCTTTGGCCAAGGCTTTCATTTTAGGTTTTAGAAGGGGGATTTGCTTGACTGATAGTTTGCCTTGTGTTACTGAGGATCAAACTCATGCATGTTGAGCCGTTGCTCTACCACTGAACCACACTTCCAGCCTTTTTGAGACAGGGTTCCACTGTGTAGCTCTGGCTAGTTGTGAATGCTCTGTGTAGACCAGGTTGACTTAACTCACAGAGGTCCACGAGCCCATGCTTCCTGAGTACTAGGATTTAATGCAGGCATCAACATGTTCAACTTGATCTCTTTTATATGGCTCTTATTTAGTGCTTATTTATGGAACAGCAAGCTCCAAGATGCTCGTTGAGTTAGAGTTGTAGCGCAATGGAAGCACTTCTGACTAGCATACTCAAGACCACTAATTAAAAAGTAATAATAATAAAAAAGTTTTAAACTTTTGTTATTTCCACATCCTCTTTAGTAATTTATCTCTACCTTCTGTTTCCATGTTCCCCCAAAGCTTTTAATTTTGTCACTCATATACAGCTTGATTAGAAATATATATGTGTCAAAACATATATTGATACTTTATATGTATTGAAGTGACTTTAAAATTATTCTTGAACCAAGTGTGGTGGCTCAACACCTGTAATTCTACCACTTGGGCAAAGGCTGAGGCAAGAATGCTACTGTGAGTTTAGGCCATCCTGGCCTATGTAGCAAGTACTACACAAATCAGGGCTGTCTAGCAAGATCTGTCTCAAAAATGGTGAGATACCATACATATGTAAGTCCCTGGATGCTTCTGGAACATGGTCAGGTAAAGGCAAGTAAATCGTACCGTCTTGCTTTAAGATGGACTAAAACTTTGATTAAGCTCCTCTCCCTCTGTCATTACCTCTTTCTTGCCTCCTCTATCATGGAGTCTGTCACTTCCTAGTAAAGTGTATTTAAGGAGCAGAATGTAGCTCATAACAATACTAGCATGTGTGATACCCTCTGTTCAATCCTAGCACTGCCAAAACAATTCTTGTTTCAATTGCCTGTGTCACTGGCCTCCCAACAATAATGCTGCTCGTTGATGACTGTGTTACTTACTGGGTTTGGCATTCTGGTGATTAGCACGGGCCCAGCAGCTGGGACAGACTTCTCCCTTGCCCTGTATAGCCAGGGATTCTGCTGTCCTTATGCTGCATCACCTGCATACTTACTCCTCTGGTGGAAAAAAAGATGACTAATGGTTTTTAATTTTCCCATCAGGCTCCCTGGAGTGTTAGAGTTGAGACAGAAGGGAGAAAGGGAAAGGGGATGGACATGTCACTGTACATTACATTTTTATAGGAGTAGAGAGATGATTGGCCCGTAAATCTTGATCTGAGTCAGTGGTTCTCAACCTTCCTAACACTGACCCTTTAATACAGTTCCTCATGGTGTGGTGACCCCCCAACCATAGTTATTTTTGTTGCTACTTCCTAACTATAATTTTGTTACCATTATGAATCATAATTAAATATCTGGGTTTTTTTTTTTTTTGGATGGTCTTAGGTGACCACTGTGAAACAGTTGTTCAGCCCCCCACCAGGGGCCATGGCCCACAGGTTGAGAACCACCGATATTGACTGGGATATTGAATCCCCCTTTCTCCCTACTCTACAGAGGTGGTGCCCTGCTGACCTCCACCAGTGGCCCTGGTTTCCATCTCATGCTTCCATTCATCACATCCTATAAGTCTGTACAGGTATATGTGGCTGTGCGGTGTGGTTGGAGCACTACATATTCGGGTTGTTGACTCATACACAATTTGAAATTACTTAGCTGTTAGATGAAGCAGATGCCTTTTCTGGGGCTTTCTTAAGGACCTCTCTCTCACACGCCCAGAGAGAGTGGCAGGGCCAGGGGCTCTTATGATATTACTTGATCATTGAAATAGCTGAATGGAGCTATTGCCTTGCCTTGGCCTGTCAACCCCAAGTGGAGATTATTTCCTCACTTTCAAAGTGGGACTAAAGACTTTGTTATGAATGTTTAGAAGAAAAGTTGAGTGTTTGTATATATTAAATCACAGGTTACCATGACAGGTGGAGATAAAACAGGGAATTTTGCTTGTAATGTGTGAACTTGCTTGGGGAAGGAAGTTGGTTGGGTAAGGGCCAATGCCATGTAAAATAGGAGAATGTTAGAATTAGCTGTAGTCGGTCTCCTCCAGGCTGAGGTAAACTTAGCATCGCTAGAGTACATCCAACTAAGAAAACTCAGGCAACCCAGCAAGGGGCTGGGGATGTCACACAGAGACAGAGATGGTGACAGAGGCTAGCTCAGTTCCTGGCACAAAAGAGTGAGAGGGAGGGAGAAGATGAAAATAGCCCAGCAGAGTGACCACCTGCCCTGGTGAGCGGCTTGCCTTTGCTATGCTTTGTGGACTTCCCAGAACCTTGGGTGCTTTTTCTTATCTGAGACTCACTAGTGCTGAACAGGTACTGTATTCTGAAGCCAGGCAGAAGGGGAGCATGCTGCTTCAGCACTTGTAAGACACACTCGTCAGGCTCCAAACTCAATGTCCTTTCTTTATGATCCAGCCCGTTCATATGTGCTTCAGGCACAGGAACACCCGAGTAGGTACTTTTGCTTGGTTTCAAACCTCAGCCTGTTGAGGGGGATTAGGTAGGATAGCAGTCAGTTACAAAGGTTTTTGGGGCTTCCTGACAGTAGGTTGGTCTCTGTCACTGCCTGTTTTGCATGATTTGATGTTTCCTCTGTCTCCAGACCACTCTCCAAACAGATGAAGTGAAGAACGTACCATGTGGGACCAGGTAAGGTACCAAGAGGGAAGGTGGTGAGCCCCAGCCAGTAAGAGGAAGGACTGACGGAGAGCCACAGTGAGACACAGTGATGTGGAGAATAGTGAGGGAAAGGAAGTGCCAAGGATGAGAGCCAGGATGAGAGACAAACTTCTGGGCACCCAGTTAATCCTTTTGTTATTTCCCATGTAGTCATTTGCTTTGATCAAAAGGTACTAGTGACTTAAAAGATAGGAAGTACCCTTCCCTCCTTTCCTTCCTGATGTGCAAAGGTCTTGCTGTCTCCTTGGAGGACAGGGGGTGGGGGTCTATAAGCTCTGCACGCCTCCTGCTTGGAAGTGTAAGCTGCCTCACATCCCATGAACATTAAACTCCTGTCCTTCTAATCACATGGTCTAAGCCCTCTTCTTAGGAGATGTCACCAGATTCCAGAACTCACCAGTAACTTCCTTGTCGCTTTTTCCTCCGACAGTGGTGGTGTGATGATCTACTTTGATAGAATTGAAGTGGTGAACTTCCTGGTCCCAAATGCAGGTATGTCTTCCAGCTTGTCCCTGCTCACGCCTTCACCATCTGTGGGCCCCACAAGAACCGAGAAATGAGGAAGCTGAGAAAACTTTGAGAGGTTTGAAGTCTTGGCTCTCTTATGCTGAGCCCTGTCCTTCCCCACAGTGTATGATATAGTGAAGAACTATACTGCGGACTATGACAAGGCCCTCATCTTCAACAAGATCCATCATGAGCTCAACCAATTCTGCAGTGTGCATACACTTCAGGAAGTCTACATCGAGCTGTTCGGTAAGAATGTAGCCATCATCAGTGCCACACACACACACCGCCCAAGGCATGTCAGCCTTCAGCAGCCCTGTATCTGTCTGCCTCTAAGCTACCACACCATAAAATGTGAAGTACACAGGAAACAGTCACTAAGAGTTCCAGGTAATACAGACCGCCAAGCATGGTGGTCTGTACCTGTAATCCTAGCACTCAGGAGGCTGAGACAGGAGGATCCCTGAGTTCAAGGCCAGCCTGGGCTACAAAGTAAGAGTTTTCCTAAATAAATAATGCCCCAAAAAGAAAAACTAAGATGTTCAGAACAATGGGAAGATCTTTGTAGTAGTCAGACGTAGCGCTGGAGTAAATAAAGGAGTCCCTGCTGGCCTGAACAGAGGACTAGAACAGAAATGTTCTCACTGTCCCAGGAATACTATTCTATAGTGAGAATGCAGTGGCTTCTAGAAGAATCTGACAAGGCCATGTAGCCTACCACACTCATTTTAAAATTAGTATACTGGGGCCAAGAACAAGAAAACAAGAGCTGTTGCTAGTAGACAGCAGAGCTGCAACCAGACCCTGTCCTCCCCCACTGTCACTCGAGTGTTCTTCCCACTGATTGCAGGTTGCCAGGTGTGTGTGGTGAGAAAGGTAGCTTTGTGCCATGTGAAATGGGTGGGAAGTGACTGAAGAGGCCGAGGATGCTGTCAGATCTTTAGAGCTGGAGTTACAGGTGGCTATGAGTGGTACATGGGGCTGGTAACTGATCTTGGGTCATCTGGAAGAGCAGCAAGTGGTGTTTGCTTTTGCTACAGGGTCTTAGGCAGTAGCTCAGGCTGGCTTGGAACTCACTGTGTAACCCAGACTGGTCTCAAATTTATGACACTCCTGCCTCAGCCTCCTTAATTCTAGAGTTGCATACATGAGTGCCCCCCCATGTCTCCAAAATTAATTCTTGATTTGATAATAGCTATAATACTGCATCAAGTGCTCTTAACCACTTAACCACTGAGCTATCTTTCAGCCCCTTGTTTTGTGTTTTCACTAATAAAATTACTAGATTTAATAACTACCTTTTAGTGACAAGATCTCATAGCATAGCCCAAGCCAGCCCTATGGTCCTCCTCCTTCGGTTTCTCAGGTGCTGGGTTTTAGGCTTGTGCTTCTGTGCCTTGCTTTCCTTGCTTCTTTTCTAAAAACCAGACATAACCACGTTCTACCCTCCTCTAAGGAACTGTGGGCCTGCCTTCTCTTGAAGCTGCTCAGGAATGTTTTAAATTGTTTCTTGTTTCTTAAGCCAGGTACCCTGGAAAGCCTGGCTGGTGTTTTAAACAATGAAGAAGCTTTACTTTGAGGCCAAAGTGGAAGTTATGCCTAGCTGCTCCAGGGTCTCAACTTAGGCATCTGGCTTGTTATGAGCACTGTTTTGGAAAGACAGTGAGCGGGCTAGTGTTTCCGCTTGCACCTTTTTCTCTCCTCACGCAGACGGCCTGACAGCCCTATTTGTGTCTGTCTTGATTCCAGATCAAATTGATGAAAACCTCAAGCTGGCTTTGCAGCAGGACCTGACCTCCATGGCCCCTGGGCTTGTTATCCAGGTAAGCATTGCTCAGTGGGGAGTGCTTGTACTTGACATTGCATGCATCCTCCTAAGGGATGCCGTTTTAGCACAGGACACCAAGAGACCATTGGAGCGTGTGTCCCTGACCACTTTCATCCTCCCATCAGTTGTTATTTGTGCCCTTCTCCAGGCTGTACGAGTGACAAAGCCCAATATACCTGAAGCAATCCGCAGGAACTATGAGCTGATGTGAGTATGCCCTGTGCCTAAGCTGTGCCCCGTGAGCTCCCCCGGGCCCATCCCAGAGCAGCAAGCTCAGCTTTTCCCTTGAGCACCTGTTAGTCTGTTGTACTCTAAGGTTGGGCAGGCATGTGAGTACTTGGGGCCACAGAGGAACCATGGAGAGCAGCGATGCTTTTAAAAGACAAAAGAATTGTAGCAGAAGTGGAGATAACAGGGACAGATATGTCAACTTGCTGGCAGGTCTGTTTTATTAAAGTAGAATATTCCTGTTTTGTTTTACTCTGAGAGGGCCTTGCAAGAGTCCAGGCTAGCCTCAAGCTCCTATTCTCAAGCTACTCAGCTTCCTGAGTAGCTGGGACTACAAGCTTACATACACTGAGGCATTGTGTTTTATTTCTCACAAAAGAAAGCCTTACAACAGATCAGTACAGGCTGAGCCACTGAACACCCTGCACAGGGGCGCAAAGATGCCCTTGTGTGCTTCCCCTCAGCCGGGTTGGGCTTCTCAGCAAGCACTGAAGGTCTCCAGAACAGCCTCACAGCTGTGTGCTTCTTCCTTCCAGGGAAAGCGAGAAGACGAAGCTTCTCATTGCAGCCCAGAAACAGAAGGTGGTGGAAAAGGAGGCAGAGACAGAGAGGAAGAAGGCCCTCATTGGTCTGCACATGGTTCTCTAATCCTCCTTCAGGGAAGAAGGGGTTGGGGGTGGTGGGAGTGTGTAAGGAAGGCCAGGGCATACTTAACATCCTCCACAATGCCTCCAGTGTGCTGAGGTGGCATTCACCTCAGGAGCCAAGTGGAAATGGTTGGATGGTGGGCACAGATAGTGAGTCTTGAGTTTTTCAAATGTGAAGTAACTCAATTATTATATCAGCACCAGAGGAGAGTACTGTCCTTTTTTGTTTGGTTGGTTTTTAAATTTTATTTATTTATACACACACACGGGGGGGGGGGGGGTGCTTGTTAGTAGGAGCTCATATACCATGGCACAGTTGTGGCGGTCAGAGAACAACTTTGGGGAATGGTTCACTCCTTGTACTATGTACTCAGGTTGCCAGACTTGTCTGGCAAGCACTTTTACCCACTCGGCCAGCCTTCTTGAGGTGCTTGCTTTGTTTTACTGAACTCTGAAATTTATAAACATGTCTGAGCTTGTGTGGCAAGTAAGAGGGCACACTGGAGCTCCGCTCCAGATCTCTGGTCACAGCAGTCACCTGAGCTGTTTCCTAAAGTGCCCATCAGGTGCAAATTATTCTTTAAAGGGTTGACTTGGGAGAGAAGTTAGGCTATACCCTGACTTCCGGGAAGCATGCCTTTCTCCTAGATCAGCAGTTTGATCTCCAGTTACTGTTTGATGCTGATGTACTCCTGTGCTCACTGGGCCATTCGTCTCTCAGGTGTGCCTATTGCAGCTGCCCTCTGTGGACTTGGCTCTGTGAGCATACCCATTCAGGTATTAGGGCACTCAGGTCAGGGGAAGGTACAGTCAATCTAGGTTTGCTGTTTTTACATTGACTATCTGTATGAGAGTATATGGGCACATGCATGCCATGGCTGCTTATGTAGAGGCTAACAACCTGTGGGAATCGGCTCTCTCCTTTCACCGTGTGGGTCCTGGAATTGAACTTGCATCATCAGGCTTGACAGTTGGCACCTTTACCCACTGAGCCATCTCACTGCCCTCCCCAGGCTTTTTGACATGTCAGCACTAAATCATTTCTCTACTTCATTTACTCAGAGGCAGAAAAAGTGGCTCAGGTTGCAGAAATCACCTATGGACAGAAGGTGATGGAAAAGGAGACGGAGAAAAAGATTTCAGAAATTGAAGGTGAGTAGACATGATGTCGTGCCTGGCAGAGCTTGGTGACTAAGTCATTTTCTGTACTCTTTAGTCTCTGTTCTTGAGTGTGTGATGTCTCTGAACTGCTAGCTCTCCTCTGCTTAGACCTGGATTTAGAACTCTGACCCTGCCCTGCACAGTAAGCAGATCTTCACGGAACATTTGTTCAGCAAGTGTCAGTCATGTTGATTATGTACTGGGCATTTTGTTAGGAACAAAAAAGAAATCAAGGGCTGGTGACATGGCTCAGTAGATTAGTGTTTACTGCCAGACCTGAGGACCTGAGTTCCATACCCAGAGCCCTCATGGTGAAAAGAAAACCAACTCCTGAAAGTTGTCATCTGACCTCTATATACTCACCATGGCATGCTTGCACACAACACACACACACAAAAATAAATAAGATAAATGTTTGTAAATAAGTAATTTATTAAATAGATCTGAGAGCAAGGGTGTCCGTCCAGGCAAGGTAACATATTCCTATAGTCTGAGCACTTGGGGAAAATGCAGAATGGGGCAGGGAGTTAGAGGATATTCTGGGACATCCTAAGCTACAGAGGAAGACCCTGTCTCAAAAATAAAAAGAGAGAAAGAGAAGAAATGAGACAGAACGGTCCCTGTTGACCTGGAGCTCAGTTGAGCAGGTATGTCTGAGCTACCTTCTCTCCAAAAGCACCCTAGGCCCAGGCATGTTGGTGCATACCTCTGTCCTGCCAAATCAAGATCCCATTAGGGGAGGGGAGTCGGTGGCTTGCATTGTTTTCATCTCAGGTTTGCTCTCCAGGTCTGATCAAGTATAGCATTAGCCTTGGCGAAGGTGCTTTTCAGCACTGTCCGCTCTGGAGCTGAGGAGAAGCGTTGTTGTTAGCTCTCTTGACCATTGCTCACCTTCAGTTCCCCTCCAGAGCCCTCCTCCCCACTACCCTCACTTTGCTTCACATGGTGATCCCTATAGTCCTAGGACTGTGGATGTGGAAAAGAAGGATTTAGCATTCCAAGCCAGCACGGGGTCACATAGAAAAACTATTAAGTTACCATCAACAGACCAGAGAGATGGCTCAGCTGGTAAAAGCACTCACTGCCAAGCCTGAGGGCCTGAGTCTGGGCATGGTTGAAGGAGACAACTGATTTTCCCAATTTGTCCTCTGATCTCTACACATGTGCCATGGTGTACATGCCCTCCCCTAAATAATAAGTGAATGTAATCATTAAAAGGTTTTAATTTGTTAAAGGGGTGAAAGGAAACAGTAACAGCCACAGTACAGCATCCCCAAAGAAGTGACCTTTGTCCCTTGAGAAATATGTGACTGATTGAAGCTGGCTGGTGTGTCCCCAAGGCCGGGAGTTCAGTGTTGAGTGGTGCATCAATGCTGAGCAGGGAGATGCACTGTTGCACAATGAGAGGAAGCAGGTCTGAGTCTAAACAGTGTTCCTCTGGACCACCATATGTAATTGTAGAGTTGACCAGCTTACTCACTATTAGAATCTTTGGGGAAATGAAGTTGGAAAGGGAACTGACTATTCAGTCTTAGGGTGGACCCATGACAGGCATGGCAGTGTGTGTCTGTAATCCCCGCACTGAGGAGGCTGACGAAGGATGATGCCACAGTAGAGGTTTTCCTTTTTGCATTAAACTGAAACTCTTGCTACTGTCTTAAAGATCTTTCTTAGGTTACTTTGTTTTTGAGAAATGCTTTCTCTGTACTATTAGGAAGACTACATAATCCAGGACTAGCCTGAGCTGTAAGGTGAGGCCATTTCAAAATCAAAACACACTAAAAGCATCCCTCAAGGTCATAGAGACCAGGAAATGTCTTTGTTGGTTTTTGTTTTCTGCAGTGCCAGGAATGGGAGCTGGGGCTTCGTTTATGCTGGCCAAGTGCTAGCCCACTGAGCTGTAATTGCCAGCCCCAGGGCACGGGCTTCTGTACCTTCCCAAGTATTGTTTTACTTGATCCATTTCCCTGCACCCTTCACCCCTTAGATGCTGCGTTTCTGGCCCGGGAGAAGGCAAAGGCTGATGCTGAGTGCTACACTGCTCTGAAGATAGCAGAAGCAAATAAGGTAAAGGCCCGATCCCACCATACTGAGGATGCATTTGGGTTTGCCACTGCCTGCCCAGCATCTGAACAAAAGTACTGAGGAGCCCATGCTGTGTGAGATAGCCACTTCTCTTAGGTGGGAAAGGCTTAGTAGAAGTTCCATTTTTGTGTTAAACATGGAAACTCTTGACACTGTTGCTACTCTGTCATAAGACCTTAGATTACTTTCTTAGAAAAATGGTTTCTGGGTAACAGGAAGACTGTGGAAAGTAGAGGAAGTGTGTCTGCTTGACAGGGCCCTTCTCCAGATGAAAGCTGAGAGGTCACCACCAGTTTTTCTCTGATGTCATCTCCTGTGCTTTCTTCACTTTTCTATTGCAGCTCAAGCTGACCCCAGAATATCTGCAGCTGATGAAGTACAAGGCCATTGCTGCCAACAGCAAGATTTACTTTGGCAAAGACATCCCCAACATGTTTATGGACTCTGCAGGTGGTCTGGGCAAGCAGTTTGAGGGGCTGACTGACAAGCTGGGCTTCGGCTTAGAAGATGAGCCCCTAGAGGCGACCACAAAGGATAATTGAAAAAAAAAAAAATGTATACAACCTCTGATTGTGACGCTTAGAGAGAGCTTTATTTTTAAAAATGAAACAGAATGCTCCTCCTTCCCACACCACCTTCTTAGACTCTTCAAGTTACTGTGGTTAAAAAAGGAAGAAGTGGATATAAACCTACCCCCTTCTGGGAAGGGAGAGCAGATGGAGAATTGTTTTTAATTTTAATTCAGGTAAGTAGGTTGTATGACTTCTGGTAAGGTGTGTGCACCATAGATTTGACCTCTAACCTGCAGGCACCAGCTTAGTGGGAGATGTGTGGCTACTGCTTCCTCATGGTTTGATTTCCTTCATGGGAAAATTGGTTCCACGGTTCTCTTCCTTGCCTCTGACCGGGCAGTGTCTGCATGTGGGCTCCCAGATAACCAGGCATCTGCTGTGGCATGTCAGCTGCAGAGGGAGAGCAGTGGTCTAGGCTCTTTAACAGTGTGAGTGGGTTACTCTAGAGTTAAGCTGGGTTGAGCCCTCCTTAGGAAGAACCTGGTGCTAGGTTTTGCAAGGTTTTCTATACACTATATACTCTTGCCCTAGTGTTTTCTGACTACATTTCACCGAAGCAGGGCTCGTCACCCCACACACTCCTTTCAGATTCTTACCTGATCTGTGATTTGATTTTTTTGCATAATCTATTCATTAGTTCCACTCATCAAGATGGGAACAAGCAAGTGTCGGACTGACTGATGAAGTAGTCTTCTTGTACCATTTGGCTACTTAGGTGTATACCTTTAAGACCTTATCATTATGGAGATTCTTCATTGAAGAGCTCTTGACACTGGAGGAGAAAAGAGCCAGCCAGTAGACATCCAAGTAGTAGTGCCTGTGGCCTGTGCTGGGGGTTTATCTGACACGCTGATAAAGAGATCTTTTAAATCCAGAGCAGCTTCATAGATGTAAGGCAGAGTTGATGCCCATGCCCTATGGGCAGCATTGAATCCTCATGTTTTGTTTTTCATTGCTAGTTAGGAAGACAAAGAGTCACTCTAGGAGATTTAGGATGGAAAGAACAAATATGAAAGAACAGTATTTCTTAGATCCTGAAATTGGCCCGGGTGGGGGCAGGACTGCAACTTGTATGGCCTGTGAGTGCTGTACAGAAGGCCTTTGTGGACTGCAGCTACACAGAGTCAGTGCTGCCATGGTGGTACCCTGTGTAACCGTGCCCAGCTCCAGCCTAGGACTTGGCCTTATAGTAGTTGCCCCCCCCCCATACAAAGCACCTATTGTAATCTTTAGGCGAATACTATAAATGCTATTTTCTGGCATCAATCCTCATTTTTGGCTCTATAAGTCAGGCCAGTTTGCTTCTAAGTGACTGGCACTAGGCTTGTCAGGTTTTGGAGAAGCATTTGTCCTGCCTAGAAAGAAGCAAAGTGTTAATTCCACATACTTCAGATGTTACCCTTCTCTGATCTAACTCCTTTTACAGAGACTTCTCAGGCCACTGGTCCTGGTCACACTTTGTACAGATTACAAAGTGTTCCTGGAAAGGATAGATTCTAATGTGCTCATGAGTTCCTGCAAAAGTGGGATTTTGTCCCAAAACCAACTCATCTTCTTCCCACTTGCTGCTGAAAATCACTTGTTGAGAGCAACATGCCATAGCCAGCATCCCCTCTTCCTCCTGAGCCTCAGAAACACTATTTCACTGGAGTCAGTGCAGGAGTAAGTCTGAAAGTCTGTCTGCTACTTAGGTTCAGGTAGCTGGTTCCTTATCACAAAGAGCCTCCCAGCATCCTTATCACAAAGTCCTGCTGCAAGTGCTGCTTCCTCGCCCCTGAATGTCACTTCTTTAACAAAGCGTGTGAATGTTCCCATGTCATTAACAAACTGAGTACATGTTAATGTCTGTCCCAGCAGTAAAATCATGGAGTTCAGCTGACTTTTTAGTATGGGACACCTAGCCCATCTGTCTGTGTGACTTTGTTTTTTGTAATACTAGAATGTCTGTAAAGCATTTAAATTCAAAACATGTGAAATGTGATAAGCCTGCAGTTTTGTAGGCAGTGAAGTCATGGCTGCTATTTATATAGAGAATTTCTATCAAAATAAGAAACTTGTTTGTAAAATTCAGTTTTTGTAGGATTTTCCCAAGGCACAGCTACCTTGGTAGAATGTTTCTCACTCACTAAACTTCATAGAAGCAGTTCCTATTCAGAACAGTTTTTAATCGCTTTTCAATATATGGTCAATGTTTGTAAGAAATCCTACGTTTAATAACTTTTTATAACTAAAAGTAGATGGGAGAGGAGTCCGTGTGGTTGCTAAGTTGAGAAGCAGGGAACCACAGAATGAGCTTATTAATAGAGTGACCTTAAGAAGGGAGTGTTTCCTAAATGACTGTGGGTAATTGTATCTTGTAAAAGTAAGACAGCCATGTTTACTGACCTGGACTATCGTAAGTTGGAAATTGATAAGCTGTACATTGACAAATAGCTACTCTGTCTGTAAACTTCACCTATTTGGTTGTCTTCAGTGGGATTCTAGCCACTGTTTGTTTCCTTATAAAAGCTGTAAAGGGCAATCATGTGTTTGTATTTCCATTCCTTTTTATCTCTACTTCTGTGTAAACTGGTGATTTAATAGTCAAAGCAATTTTTTCAATGTGCCCCAAGGGCATTAGTGAGCCTTTATAACTGAAAAATGATTCTTGTTATATTAATCATTCCATAAATACTAGATTAATTACCTTGGATTAATAGCTCCAGGAATTGTTTCAGACAACACGAAAGGTCTCATGTGAATATACTTATATCTTAGTCTTGCTAAATAAAATGGTTTTTGTCTTTATTTTTTTTATTAAAATAAAATTTACTAGTAGCTAATACTAGGAGAGGTAATAGAAATAAACTTTCCTGTTTCCCTAAAAATATATCCAGGTTATATGTTCTTCCCAGCATGATGATGCAAGCCGTTAGCCCCAGGCAGAAGCAGGAGGGCCTATTTGAGGCCAACTTGGTCTGCATAGTGAGACCCTATCAAAAACATACAGAATGAACACACTGCTGTGTTTCTTCAAAAGATAGAGGTATTCCCAGTTGACCCAAAACTCATGTTATAGCAGTTTAAGTAGGTAACTCCCAGACTGGGCACTGCAAACTGCCTGGCCTAGTGTCACCAGATAAATGTCGATGTCAATTAATTTTACAACTATGTCCCATCCTAAATACTGCACAAACCAACTTTTATAGAAGAATTGTTCCTTAACCTGAAATTCACATCTACCTGGGTATTTTAAATAAGAAGTTATGTGTAGTGCAGGGTGTTTTGCCTGCATGCACCTTGCACCTATGGAGACCAGAAATGGAATCCCTGGACTGGAGTTACAAGCATCTGTGAGCTGCCGTGTGGGTGTTGAGAAACAGGGTCCTCCCAAGAGCAGCCAGTGCTCTTAACCTCTGAGTCATCTCTCCAGCTGTCTGGTAGTATTTCTCGTTGTTTTCTTATGTCAAATTATATTTTATTTCCTTTGGAAATGGTTCTTTCTACTGGCAGTAGTGGCGTATACTTTTAATCCCAGCACTCAGGAGGCAGAGGCAGTCGGATCTCTGAGTTAAAGCCAGCCTCGTCTGTGCAGAGTGAGTACCAGAACAGTCAGGGTTACACAGAGAAACCCTGTATTAAAAAAAAAAAAAAAAAAAAAAAAAAAAGGCAGCCATTCCCCCCCCCCAAAAAAAAAGAAAGAAAATGATTCACAATTCATACTTTGGTCATATCCCCCCACATTATCCTTAGTCTTTTCCCCCACCCACCAAACCTTTCTTAGAAACATGTCCCCTTCCTACTCTGGGTTGCTTGTGTAAGCCTCAGTGGCGAGTTACTTGGGCAAGGGCACCATCACTGAGAAATATGCTCCCCTTCCTATCCCCCAGCAACTACCACTTCCTCAAGCTCCCCAGAGACTGATAGGCCTCGAATGCTCTTTCCTTGTCCACAATGGGGTGTTGATGGACCGATGTACAAGTGACCACTGTTGCCATTGAGAAGGGGTGCAAGGGCCATGACATACCAGAAGATAGCGTTTCCAGCTCTCCTCCCTAGCCTCTGGCTCTTACATCTTTTCCCGCCCCTCTTGGAGCCTGGTCAGGTGTGATACAGATGCTCCGTTAGGGTTCAATAGTCACTTATTTTGAGCAATTTGGCAAGTTGTGACTATTAATCATTATTCATTTAAAAAAAAAAAAAAAAAGCTTCTCTGACCAAGGCTGAAGTCAGCACTAATCTATGGATATAAATACTTAGAAAGCAGTTTGATACCATGTCCATTCAGCAAAACAGTAGTAGTAGGTCATCCACTAGGGCCTATGACCTCTCCATCCATGAACTTTTGCCCAGGTTTACAGTAGTAGGTGTGAATTCCTCCTATGGAGTGGGCCTCAAGTCCAGGCAAAAAGCAGTTTGTTGTTCCCCTAATAATCATAGCACTACTGCTCATCTTGCCCAGCAGGTTGATAATGAAGCTCATGAGGTTCAATGCTGAGGACCACTGATGGGTTTTCTCGCCCAATAACCTGCATAACACCTTCTGACATCAGAGTTAACCAGCAAGGAGGAAGCTTCCCACTCAATTCTAGCCTGACTTCTCTGTCCTGTAATCGAAGAGTATGGTATCTTCAGCAACATCTAGTTGGGCAACCAAGAACAGCAGCGATAGCCTGTATTGTTGGTTTCCCTGACAACTTTTAAAGAGCTGTTCCATACTGAAGGGATTTCCATCATAACCTAAATAGCATTCATTATCCACCCATGTCTGTGTTTGTTAACATCTGATAACACCAGTTAGGCTTGCTCAAGGATTTTGTATTGCTTTTTAGTATTTTGGGAAAATAAAGTCTTTGTTTAGATAATCCTGCCAGCCCAGGGCTGTCCGCACTCGCTCGGATTCTCAGCCGGCTCAGCCTCCGACTTCCCCAAGATGGCGCGGGCCTCCTCCGCCAGCCTCCGTTGGGGGCGGTGGCTGGATGGCGAGCGGTGATTGGGTCTCGCAGGCCGGGGGCGTGGCCGGAAGTCGGTCTCCGTGGGTCGCGGTCCCGGGCTAGCCCATCCTCCGCGGAATGTGGAGAGCTGGCAGAATGTCGGCGGAGCTGGGAGTCGGGCTTGCGCTGCGGACTGTGAACGAGCGCGTCCAGCAGAGTGTGGCTCGGCGGCCGCAGGTGAGGACGGGCCGCAGGGGACGGGGGCAGGCTGAGGGGGACACCAGCGCGGGGTCAGCTGTCACAGTGACGCAGAAGGGGTTCCCGGAGCGGAGGGGGCCGCGGGGGCTCGCGAGGTTTCCTCAGCGGTCTGCCCTTGAGGCTCGGGGCTTCCTGGAGGTTGGCTTGGTTGGACAGGTGGTGCCCACTTAGGGAAAGTGACCCGTGTCCAGGTGTCCTCGCCATTTGCCATTTCCCGTCGCCACAGTGGTAGAGCCCTCAGAGGGCCACATCCACCTGCGATCACGTGCGTCGTGGCGGCGAACCCTGGTCAAGGTGCAAGAGAACCGAAAAGGTTTTACCTCCACAGAGTAAGGAGAAGCTGTCAGGTGTCCAATCACAAGCATTTATAATTTTCGTATTGGTTGCCTTGTCCCCTGTTGGACTTCTTATTAGACCAGAGTCAGTGTCTGTTTTTCTCCGTGCAAATTAAGCTATGTTGTGTGGTGAGACAGGAAAAAAAAAAAAAAAAAAAAAAAAAAAAAAGAGCCCCTTCTGATCTAATGTCTATGGTCTCAGATTTCAAAAAGACTGGGATAAAAGGCGTGTGCCACCATGCCTTTAATCCCAGCACTCAGGAGGCAGAGGCAGGCAAATCTCTGTGAGTTCAAGGCCAGCCTGGTCTACAGAGCGAGTTCCAGGACAGGCTCCAAAGTAATACAGAGAAACCCTGTCTCCAGAAAAAAAAAAAAAAAAAAAAAAAAAAAAAAAAGGCTGAAGGCAGTCTTTTCCTAACTAATGTCTAGTAACTTCTCTAGCCCTTGGTTTCCCTGTTGCTCAAGGAAATGAGATGACCCCGGGAGCTCTACCTCCTTTGTGATACCAACGTTCTGTTTTTCCCGACGAGAAGTCTAATGCATCTCGCTGGGAGGGGAGTTAGGCCGGCTTGTACTTTATCCCTTCAGTTTATCGGCCTGATATCAGCAATTAGACACAGTCCACAAATGACAGTCCCTCAGAGGGAGGCAACAGGAGACAGGATGGTAATGGATGTGACTAATCTGAGTGCTTGAAAATACTTCTGTGAAAGTGGGGTCCTTGAAGACAGCTTTGTGAGGATCTGGCTGCAGCGGAAAGCAGGAAAACCCTCCATTTTGTAAAACACATGTGGAGAAAGTGTGGATGAATGAAATCATGAATACAGAACTGTTTGTGACCTGTTGTCAGCTCTGCCAGTGGTTGGTTGATCATAGGTTGAACAGGAAGTATGTTGTATGTCTGTATCCCAGTTGAGCCTCTTTCAGAGAGAAGGGAAGCATTATCAATAATTACATTAGCCCCAAAATTATTTTCTCAACTGTTTACTTTGTGGTGAGGGAAGCCAGAAGTGGCCTCCCTGCTCAATAGGATGCTGCCTTCCCTTAATGAACTGATTCTGTTGAGTTTTGTTTTATCTCTTGTTTGTATGTGTGGAGATACAACTCAGAGCTTCACAATGCTAAGCAGACACTCTGCCACTGTTATGGACACTGTTGCTGTACCCTCAACCAATAAAGTAATTCACGTACATGTGTTATATGCATGTATATACAATTGCATACTGTGTATGTGTTTGTGCACACAAGCATTTAAAGGTATATTCACATATGTGCAAGTGCACATGCTTATGCATGCGTTTGTGCAAGCCAGAGGTCACCTTTTTCTGTTACTCTCCACTTTATATTTTGAGTCCCCCAGCCCAGTACTGGGATTATAGACTGGTATGGACACATCTACCTTTTATGTGGAAGTTGGGGTCTAAACTCAGGCATTTATGCTTACCTGTCTAGCATTTTACCCCCTGGGCCACTTTTCTGCCTCAGATCTTTAAACCTCCAGCACTGTTTAATGTGAAAATCATTCTGAATACTTGTTCAAAAGGAAATCAATAGGCAGGGTTGTAGCTCTGTGGTAAAGCACTTGCTTGGTGTTCCCCAAACCCAGGGTTCTATATCCAGTACCACAAAAACAAAAGGATGGGAAAATGATTCTTACCAAGTGCCAAGGTGAGATTTCTGCCAATCTATTTTATAAGGTGTATCTTTTGTTTTTTTCAAGACAGGGTTTCTCTGTATTGCTTTGGAGCCTGTCCTGGAACTAGCTCTGTAGATCACAGAGATCCGCCTCTGCCTCCTGAGTGCTGGGATTAAAGGCGTTCACCACCAACACTCGGCAAGGTTTATCATTTTGTTTTGGTTATTTTTCAAAACAGGGTTTCTCTGTGTAGCCCTGGCTGTCCTGGAACTTATTTTGTAGGCCCATCTGACCTTGAGCTCACAGAGATCCACCTGCCCTTGCCTCCCAAGTACTGGGATTAAAGGCTTACACCACCACTGCCTGGCTCTACTTATCTTACTGTGTATCTTATTGGAGCAATATTTTCACACATTGACTTATATGGTTCTTTCTTGGCAGGATCTCCCAGCCATCCAGCCCCGGCTAGTAGCAGTCAGTAAAACTAAACCTGCAGACATGGTGATTGAGGCCTATGGTCACGGGCAGCGCACTTTTGGAGAGAACTATGTAAGACACCTTATAAAGAGCCCTTGAAGGAGCTGTGACTACCAGGCTTCTGACTCATTCTGTTCTTGCTCCTTAGGTTCAGGAACTACTAGAAAAGGCATCAAACCCTACGGTGAGTAGATACAGAAAGTGTTGGTTTCATCTTAGCTCTTAGCTAAGTTAGACCCATGTTGGTGGTGGAGTTTTAGAGCAGAAATCTGGGCTAGAGATGAAGAGTGTCCATGTTTCCCTTGAGCCCCAAATAATTCTCAGCTAGCTTTTCTGTCCTTATTCAGACTTTAATATTAATTCTCTTTTGTGGGACTTTGTAAATAGTGATTCTAGAAAGTAGCTGAATCTTGGGATATTTGAAAGCATAAATTAAAGTACAGATCATTTTTGTCTTTAATGAGTAGTATCAGAAAATACAGTGAGTTGATGGAAACACAGAAAGGAAACAGCATTAGGCTTAGATGACTCTCTGACTTTCCTTGTGTCTCGCTGGGAGACTAGCTAAGAGAGCTATGGTACTTCCCAGTCAAGGCAGAGCATAGGAGAAAAGGGTGCTTGGGCTGATGGGGCCGCCATGAAATCAGTATCAGTGGTTCGCTCTTTCTCCTCAGGTTCTATCTTCATGTCCTGAGATCAAGTGGCACTTCATTGGCCATTTACAGAAACAGAATGTCAACAAATTGATGGGTAAGACAAAACTCTAAACACAAAGACGGGCCTTCCCTATGATTATATAGCTTCCACTACCTTCTGAGTTAGCAGCTTTGAAAACTTTTCCAGCTCACCATTCATGTTGTGGGATTTCTTGGAATAAAACATATTAAAATAAAAATATATAAAATATATAAAATAAAAATAAGGATTGGGGAATGTGGCTAAGCAATAGGGTGTTCCTAGCATTTACAAGGCCCTAAGTCAACCCCTAGCACAGTTAAAAAAAAAATAATTACTAGCTGGGCGTTGGTGGCGTACACCTTTAATCCCAGCACTCCAGAGACAGAGACAGGCAGATCTCTGTGAGTTCCAGGCCAGCCTGGTCTAAAGAGCTAGTTCCAGGACAGGCTCCAAATCAATACAGAGAAACCCTGTCTTGAAAAACCAAAAAAAAAATACTAACTACAGAAAGATTTAATCATGTGACATGTGAGGATTTCAAATAACCTCTCTCAAGATATCAAAATTTAAGAATCCTGGGTTTTTTTTGTTTGTTTGTTTTGTTTTTTTGTTTTGTTTGTTTGTTTGTTTCATTGTTTTCCTTTTTTTGCAGGGGATAGGGCAAGGCTGATTGTGTGTGTAGAGGTCACAGGACAACACAGAGGAGTTGATTCTCTTTTTCCAGTCTGAGGTTCCCAGGAATTGAACCCAGGTTGTCAGGCTTGGCAGTAGGCATCTTTACACACTAAACCATCTTGCCTCCCTGGTTTTTTTGTTTTGTTTTTTTCTTAACAGTACATTTGAAAACAGCATATAAAAATAAATAAATAAATTGCATAGATTAAAAGTGATTTGATAAAGTTTTGACACAGGATTACAGCCATGAAACCATTACGAGAATTAAACAGTGGGCGTCCATCACCTCAGTGGCTCCTTCCTGTCATCTTGCCCAAGTGTTCCTTGTCTATTTCGCTGCTGTAAATCCATGGTTTAGAATTTTGTGTGAATGGAATTACAACAGAAGTATTTGTTTCCTTTCTGTCCTGATCAAGCATTTGACCTTTATTGTGTTTATGTGGTTCCTTCAACATCTTATTCAATAGTATTCCACTAAGTAAACATCACAACTCTTCCTTCACATTGATGAGTATTTAGTTTCTAGTTTTGAGGTATCACAAATAAGCTAATCTGCCAAATGTGGTGGCACATGCTAGAATTCCCAGCACTCAGGATTAATAAGTAAATGTAATAAAAGAGAAAAAGAACAATTTGAACAATTACTTCTTTACACTGTACTCTTTCATCTATTTCAGACAGGCAGATCTCTCTTTTAGATGCCACTGGTCTACATAGGGAGTTTCAGGCTAGCCTGCCTCAATAAAATAAAATTAAGGGGATGGAGAGATGGCTCACAGGTCAAGAGCACTTACTGCTCTTCCAGAAGACCTGGGTTTGATTACCTAGCACCCATATAGCAGCCCACAACTGTCGCTAGCTCGAATTTTGGGGGCCCCAACACCCTTTTCTGGCACAGGTGTGGTACATATACCTTCCTGCAGGTAAAACTTTCATGTGCCTAAAATAAAATTTGAAAAAAAATTTTTAATAAAACTTCAAAAAAAACTTGAAGTAAATTGAAATTTCTCCTGTGTTTTATTTTTGAATTGTTTTCTTTTGTTAAGACAAACCTGGCTATGTAGGATAGGGTGGCCTTGAGTTTACCATCTTCCTGCCTTGTCCCCCAAATGCTGGGATTATAGGTATGTGCCACCACAAGCTTTAATTAATTGCTTAAATATGCTAACCATGTAGTCTGAGGTTTAAACATGTATGTGTTGACCCTAATGCTCAAGTTTCAGATTTGGATCTTCAATTTTTACACTGTAAATATAAGGTCACCATAAAAATAATACAAGGAGTTATGGCTAATGAAAGCATAATTATAGACTTAGTCCCAGAGGCAGGGAAACAGTAAGAAAAGGCTAGAGAAATTAAACAACTTGCTCAAGATTAAGCTCTAAAAAGGTGGCAAGGCTATACCTGGTAGGTAGAATACTACCACCCCCCAGAGCCCGATCACTGCACATGCTTGGTCTGAGATCCTTATTTGCTCTTGTTACTGTGATAAAGACCATGACCAAAAGCAACTTGGGAAGAAAGGGTTTAAAGGCTTATACTTCCACATCACAGTCCATCACTGAGGGTAGTCAAGGCAGGCTAAAGCAGATACCACGGAGGAAGGCTGCTTACAGGTTTGCTCCCCATGGCTCATGCAGCTTACTATCTTATACAGCCCAGGACCATCTGCCCAGAGGTGGCACAACTCAGTGAACTGTACCCTCCCACATCAATCAATCAGACATGCCCATGGACTTTTGCCTACAGGCCATCTGATGGAGACATTTTCTCAGTTGAGGCTCTCTGTTCCCAGATGACCCTGGCTTGTGTCAAGTTGACAAAAACAATGACAACTGGTTTTGCCATTCTGAATAATTTTCATTGACTGTGCCTAATGCCTAGTTTGTCAATTATCAGAGTTTGTCATCTGTGATACATTGTAGTTTGGGGGAGGGTGTTGTCTTTTGCTGCAGCTATCTCCTATGAAACACAAACATGAGACTCAGCGTGCCCATGTGGAGTTTATTGGTGACCAACTGAAATCAGGAGGGAGAAAGAGGAAGAGAGAAAGAGGGGGGCGCACTTTCTTTAAAAGGGAAACTGAGTCCCCTAAGCAGTGACATAGCTATGACATGGCCATACATGTCCCACCCATTGTCAGGGGGCGGGGTCAGCAGACTGCTGGTTTCCAACAAGGGGTGTTTGTTTTGGCTAGAAGTCTTTGGATACATGGAAGAAATAACTGTCCTTATCTACTAATTCTTTCATTTCCTCCAATTTAGATCAGTTTTAGCTAATATAACTTCTCATCATATACTGTCCTGTGAACAGTTGCTTTTCACATTGCTGGGTTTGGTTTACCTTTGTTTTCTGTTTTTTTTTTGGGGGGGTTGATTTTTTTTTTTTTTTTTTTTTGAGACAGAGTCTGACTCTAACCCATGCTGGCCAGGAACTCTTACTCTATAACCCAGGCAGGCCTAGGGCTTGTGGTAATCCTCCTGTCTCACCCTGATTGCTAGAATAGCAGGCGTGAGCCACCAACACACCCAGCAAGATGCCTGAATATTTTGTTTGGATTTCAGACATGAATTTTAGCTTGCTCCATTCTAGCTATTTTTATATTCCTATAAATATTCTTCTGCTTTTTTCTGGAACATAGTTTACATTTTATTGGAACAATTTGATCCCTTTAGGATTTTAGATTTTTGGTTGGTTGGTTGGTTTTTCATAACAGGGTTTCTCTGTGAGCTCTGGCTGTCCTGAAACTCTCTCAGTAGACCAGGCTGGCCTCAAATACAAAGATCTGCCTCTACCTCCCAGTGCTGGGATTAAAGTTGTGTGCCACCACTATCCAGCTTTAGGTCTTGTTAGTATCAGTTGGTATATAGCCAGGCCAGAGTTGAGTTTTCAATTATTTACCCTACCAAGGCATAGCCGTCCTTTGCATACTAGTGTCTCATTCCTGACCAGTGTTCTGAGCGCTTTGTGAACCTTGGACTGTGTTTCTCTTAACCTGAACTTCCTTGCATACCTGCATGCATCAGTGCCCAGCTAAACACTCTAGTCCATTAAGATCACTGGTTTACTGAGTGCAGCTCCATCCTCACTCACATTCTGCACAATGAACTCTGGGCCCTTGCTCAAAGTCCGCCTCATTCTACCCATGTCTTCTTCCCAGTGTCCCATTGGGGAAAGTACCCAAGATAAAAGCTGGGACAGTTGTGGGTCTCACATCATTTGTTTCCTACTCTCATGATCTTTTATTCCATAATACTAGGTCTTTATAAATTGTTGCTTCAATGTTGTATAATCCCCAACCCACTTGGGCTACTTTAAAAGAAGGTTGACCAGATAGCTCAGTGAGTAAAAGCACTTTTGAGCAAGCCTGACATTTGTAAGTTTGATCTTCCAGTTCCACAGTGGAAGGAAAGAACCAGCTCCCACAAGTTGTCCTCTGTCCTCCACATGCACTTTGTCACACACATGCCATACACACATCATACACATAGGATAAGAATACAAAAACAATAATAAGTAAAATATGGTTCCTGTACTTTTTCCCTCTCAGTTCTGGGGACTGAACCTAGGGTCCCTCTCATGCTAGTCAAATTTTCTACCACTAAACTATGTCCCTGTCCCTTTTGTAAATTTTGAGTTAGCCCAGGTATCACTAAGTTACTTAGGCTGGAGTTGAACTCATTTTGTAGCCCCGGTAGTCATTGAACTTGTGATCCTCTTGCCTCAGACTCCCAAGCTTTATAAGCCTATAGTGCCAAGACTAGCCTAAGAAGTCTCATGGGATTTTGGTAGGGTGTCTCATTTAGTTCTCTTTGGCCTCAAGTTTCACTGTATAAATGAAGATGACCTGGAGTTTCTGATTCTCCTGCCTCTACTTCTTAAGTGCTGGGATTGCCAACATGTACCACACTGGTCTATGTGTTGCCTGGGACAGCATTCTTACCAACTGAGCCACATCCTCAGCCCCACCCCCACCTCCACCCTTTCTAATTAGATTTGTTTTTAAAAATATGAAAGATTATTAGCATCCACTCGTTTGAGACCATGAATAGGTCAGCACTCTCAGGTCTTCACAAAGATTCCTGTGTGGTATCACTTCCGTATTTGAGAAGCTCGGGACTAGTCCCCCAGCAGATCATCTCTTAAGGACAATATGACACCTGCTTTTGTTTGTTCAAACCGCAAGCCCCAGTTTTGTTGACTTTGTAAACTTGGTTAACCTTACACTGTTCTGCACTCAATCTCCCCTCTCTGTAGATAAGTGTTCTTCAACTGTGGTAAAAACTATAAAGAAATAATGCTGATCAAGCATAGTAGCCCATGCCTGCAGTTGCAATTGCAGCTATTCAGAAAACTGGTACAAAAAAAAAAAAAATCTAGTGAGGCCCTACACGCTGTACTAGTTACTTTTCTGTTTCTGTGATAAAATGCAATGAGCAAAAGTGACTTAAGGGAAAAGTTTATATTGGCTTGTAGTTCCAGAGGATAGAATCCATCATGTGGGGAAGGCATGGCATGGCAGCAGGAGTAGGAAGCTGGCTGGTCACACTTTCTTCCACACAGGAAGTGGAGGGCAAGAGAACCAAAGTGTGATGAGACTAAACTCTAAAAACTATGCCCTGCCCCCAGTGATGTAGTTCCTCCAGCAAGTTCTGTAACCTTCCCAAACAGTGCCACCAAAGATGACCAAGGGTTCAAATACATGAGCCAGTGGGGGAATGTTTTCCAATCAGACCATCACAGGCCCTATCTCACACACACACACACACACACACACACACACACACACACACACACACACACACACACGAAGATGCAGGTTGGGTACGTGTAGCTCAATGGCAGAGCACTTGTCTCACATGCACAAGGCTCTGGGTTCAGTCTTCACCATGGAAGAGGAAGACAGGAAGGACAGAGGTCAGGGAAAGTAGTTAGCCAACTGCCTGGGATATTTCTGCGCTCAGTACAGTAAGCTGGTGGGGTTGCATCCCAGTCATTTGTCCATGGCAAGAGACAGTCCATCTTTGTAGAAGGTGGCTTTGATGACCTCACTGTCTGACTGAACATTATGAGCTCTGGTGTCCTTGTCAAATAAGAAGACCCATCCCAGAAAATTTAAGGACATGATGATATCCTTTCAGGCTAGTCTTTTGGTCTTTGGAAAGCCTGAGTTCTTAATCATTTGGCCCATTTCACTCGGTTTGAACTGAAACCTAATTAGATGAGGCCTACTATTCTAAATCTTAATTACCAGCTTCTTTTTTTTAAATTATTTATTTTATTTTATGTGCATTGATATGAAGGTGTCAGATGCCCTAGAACTGGAGTTATAGACGATTGTAAGCTGCCATGTAGGTGCTAGGAATTGAACCTGGGAATTGAAACAAGCTCTCATGTTTGTCTTATTGGCAAGTCATGACATTTAACTGTCCTTTTCTTTTCCTAGGATACTTCTCCCTCTATCAGATCAAAGTTTTATAGTATGCTTCCTCTGGCAATAGGAGAAATGAACACTTCTACCTTCCTGCTCTCTCGTTACAGCTGTCCCCAACCTCTTTATGCTGGAAACTGTAGACTCTATCAAGCTGGCAGACAAGGTGAACAGTTCCTGGCAGAAGAAAGGTTCTACTGAACGACTAAAAGTTATGGTCCAGATTAACACCAGTGGAGAGGAGAGTAAGTGACCTGACCTGACCATAGATGTTTGGTGCCTTCGATGGCTGGTGGAGTGGGGAGTATAAGCGCCTGATTGTGGGGCAATGAGACAGCCTTTTAGTAAGCTGCTTTGTCACAACTTAGCAATGTGATGATCCTGGTAGGTGTTGATTTTGATGTCCTAGAAATCCTCAAAGATCATCATCAATCCCTCCTGAAAGGGGTTGAGAGTTGGATGCATAGTTCTCCTTAGACCTTTGGAAAATTACCCGTGCATCATCAGGCAAGAATAGATGAGAAATTACTGACGACTCACAGTCCTGACTTAGCAATGTAGCAGTGAGTTTTAGAGCAATGTGGACTTTTTACATCAGATGAGTGAGCTCTGCCGCTTTCTAGCTTTGGAACTTCCAGTCAGTTTCCCTAATCTCTCTGGACCTGAATTCCCGTATGTGGCAATGGCATGGGCGAGTGCCCACTGTCAAGAGTGTATGAGGATTCAGTGCAGTGAGGCAGAACCCTGGACATCTCACTTGCTTGCTTTTTGTTAAGAGTGGATGCCAAAACCAGGCAGTGGTGGTGCACGCCTGTGATTACAGCACTCAAGAGGCAGGTGGATCTCAGTGAGTTTGATGCCAGCCTGTTCTACAAAGTTCTAGAACGGCCAGGACTGTTACACAGAGAAACCCTGTCTCCCAAAACAAAAAAGAGTGACTACCAGGCATTGCATACAGCCATCTTCTAAGCATTCTTGTAGCAGATCTTGGCATGAAGGAGCTCAGTATAGGCATCTTTATTACATTTCTTGACAATTAGCTGTGATTTGCCCTAATTAACAGTGATTCCTGCCAACTCCATTTATTACATGGGGACAAAGGCGACACAATATTAGTAGTTCTTAAACTACATAACAAATAATCATCTGCTGCAGCCCCCCAGCCATTCTTAACTTCAAATATACACCCCCATATTTATTATGTGTATATAACTTATTGTCTTGCATTTCTATTAATAAATTGGTAAAACCATAAAATGTCAGGTTTAGAAAAAAGTTCTGAGATTCATCTAGGACTTTGTCAGTGTGGCTGTCCCTAGTATCCCAAGACAACTTACAGAAGGAAGGGTTTATTTGATTTATGGTTTCAGGGGGATAAGGTCTGTGGCAGGGGTGCATGGCAGCTGGAACAGAAGCTGTGGGCTCACATTTGAACCACAAACATGGAGTAGAGGGAGAGCTGGGAATGATACATGGCTTTGATATGTCACGGCTGGCGCCCATGACATACTTCCAGCAAGACCACATCGCCTAGACCTAGCCAAACAATGCCAATACCTGTGAAGGAAGTGTTCAAACACATGATCCTATAGGGGGCATTCTCATTCAAAGCACAACATACTTTTCCTTTGCTGTTTCCCCAGCCATGATCAGCTAAAACCTTGTGGGGTGTGGCTTAGTGTGTAGAGCCTGTGTATTAGAGCCATGGGTGGAATAAAAGGTGGAATAAAGAGAGTCTGATCTAAATGTAGACCCTGAGTGGAAGAGAGACGGGCATGAGGATCCTCACATACGCACTCACTCTTTAGGCTGAGGGTAAGTTGCATCATCAGCGTTTCATCTCAGTCACCTTTGTCGGAGAAAGGGATGACAGTATAGCCTTCCTCTGGCTAGTTAAGACAGGTTGGCATACCCATCTTCTTTTGTTTCTTTTTGTGAAGGTAAACATGGCCTTCTGCCTTCAGAGACCATAGCGGTGGTGGAACACATAAAGGCCAGTTGTCCCAGCCTGGAGTTCGTGGGGCTCATGACCATAGGAAGCTTTGGACATGATCTTAGTCAAGGACCAAACCCAGACTTCCAGGTACTGGGATCAGGGTGATGTTCTTGTGTCAAAGAAGCATCCTGGGGCTGTGGGTGTGGCCCACTGGTAGGGGTACCCAGCATGTGCCTTGCCTGTGCTTGATCCCAGTGCTAGCCTGCTGTGTGGTGTAGGCAGATGTTGCTTTCCCACCCATCAGTTCCCACATAACCAACATGGAGTCTTACTACTAATTATAAATAGCTTGTTATTAACTCCTCAAATTAACCCATATTTCTTATGTTTTATCATGTGGCTTGGTACCTTTTCTCAATAAGGCATGCCCATTTTGTTTCTGTTTCTGCTCAAAACTCCTCTGTCCCCACCCTCCTTCTTCCCATAATTCTCAGTTTGGTTGTCCCGCCTATACTTTCTGCCTGGCTACCAGCCAATCAGCTTCTAATTAACAAGAACATAGCCTGTCAGGCACAACATCACAACTTCTTCTGAACTCAGAAAGAAAAGGAAAACTAGGCTTCCAGACACATACATACCTTCCTTAACTCAGTTTTAACTTGGCTAAAACAATTACTACAGCAAGCTTTTCTTTCTAGTGACTGGCAGTTGACATTTTTATTGTTGTTGGGTTTGTTTTGTTTCACTTATAGGGTGTTGTTGGTTTTTGTCCCTGCTGCTTGGGGCAGAATCCAGGGTCTGGAACATGCCATGAAAACATTCTACCACTGAGCCACACCCCTGGCTCTGGTAGTCTTCTTGAAAGTAGGGAATATGGTTAAAACACTTATAGAGTAACTTCTGATAATTATCACACACCCCAAAATCACGAAGAACAGAATAATCAGAAATATTTTGGTTTGGTAACTTTGCTTGCTTTCATTTTGATGGGTTTTGCTTTTATTCCGTTTGGTTGTTTTGGTTTAGTTTGGCTTGCTTTGATCTGGAGTCAAGTTCAGCACCCTGTGTAGCCCAGGCAGGCCTTGAACTGAGGATTCTCCTGCCTATTCCCAAGTATTACAGGCAAGCACCACAATGCCTGGCACATTGGTCATCTTATGACATCACAGTAAACAACCAGAATAAAATGATAACCCTTATGCTTTGGTCAGATGTTACTGCGCCTGCGGCAGGAGCTGTGTGAGAAGCTGAACATTCCCGTGGACCAGGTGGAGCTGAGCATGGGCATGTCTGCAGACTTCCAGCATGCTGTGAGTGTCCTTTCTTTCCAAGTGCCAAAAGGGGTAGGGTAGGCCCTGGAATGGATTTGGGGGTGGGGTAGGGTCTTTTAAATGCCTCATCCTAGTAATAGTAGTCACAGTGATGCAACTGTTTTAACATTTATAAAAATTACACCCTTAAAACTCAATATAATCTACTCCATGTAATGTGGGGAAAGGCTGAGGTGTAATTTAGGGTTTAATGAATGTGTTATACCATGGGTTTGCTTTCCCAGCTCCAAAAAAAGAAATTTAAAAGTGATTTTAAAGTCATTTCTTTCATACATAAGTCCTAGGGCGTTAGCTGTGTGACAGTAAGTGTAAACTAAAGCAAAGTGCTGTTTTAGCAACTCACATGTGTGAGTTTCTAAGATAATGAATATAATGGGTGCTGTGCACACTCCTGTAGTCCCAGCATTTGGAAAACAGTCAAGAGGATTGCTGTTGAGTTTCAAGCCAGCCTGGTCTACCCCATAAGTTCCATGCAAACCAAGACTACATAGTGAGACCATGCATAGATAGACAGATAAGCAAGCAGACAAACAAATGCAAAGTTCATTTAAAAAAATCAAAATATAAAATTGTATTTTTAGAATGTCATATATGGGAAAACAGTGTAAAAGTTCTAAACTGAAGTTTGAATCTACGTTTAGATAATTACAGGTTTTCAGTTTGGCCAACTATGGCCCTTTGGTCATTGGCTGCTCTGTCTCACACACCTCAATCTCTACCATCCTTTGTCACCACATCCATAAACTGCCCAACCACTGTGCAAGCTGACATCACTGCCTGAGCACTCAGTGGCCCTGCTCCAGGGATTTATTATGTGTATATGATTTATTGTCTTGCATTTCTATTAATAAATTGGTAAAACCATAAAGCACCTAGCCATCTTCAGCTGCACCTTGGTGTTCCTTATCCAGCCTCTGGGCATCCAAAACTAAGCACAGCCTCGGCACCAACTACATTTAGCATTTGTGCTTTCTTCTTTCCCACAGATTGAGGTGGGATCTACAAACGTCCGGGTAGGAAGCACCATTTTTGGAGAGCGGGATTACTCCAAGAAACCTGCCCTAGACAAGAGTACGACAGACTTGAAGGCCTCAGTGCCATTGGTGCAAGAACACTGAGGCCAGGACAGCTGAAAGATCAACTATGCACCAGCCTAGGCTTTCATTTTGGTGTCCTGCACGTTCCCAATCACACTCTTCTGTGGCCTGTATAGAGCGATGAGGATCACACGTATTGATGGAAACCACCACTTGTGCTTTGCCTCTGCTCTAGGTAGCTGGATTCAAGCAGTGGCTCAGGCATGAATTTGAGACTTTAGAACCGACACCAAATCAGTAGCCAGGAACTGATATCAACTGAATTCTGCCAGGAGCACCCAACCCTCCACGAATGCCTTTCCCAGGGCATCTTCTGGGTTGCTGGTGCCCATAACCAAGAAAATCAGAAGAATTCCCATTTGCCATCCCACTCTTAATAGAACGCCCTATTCCTACAAATCCTCACTGTACACTCACTACTCTGGGACAGGGTGATTTTTGCTCCCAGTTTCTACCCTGACCTGAAGATGTCTCTAGTCACAGCTCCACTTTGGCACTGACCTGAAATTCCAGGATGACTTATGAAGAGCACTTGGGCCTTTCTGACATCGTCCTGCTGAAAAAAGTGGGACTTGGAGCTTTATTCTTGGGGACTATAGTGATGGAAAGTAAGTGACAGGATTTCCTCTCGAGTATAACCCTTTTCTGACTTTAGCAAAGACCATCTCCCACTTGGAGACATAGCTCTTTAGAATCAGTTCTGGCACATGGTTTCAACAAGGCCTCACTTGCTTTTTCTTTCCCTGGAAGTATTTCCCAAGTGCACCCAACACACACACACACACACACACACACACACACACACACTGTATTTGTAAGCAGAAGTTTGCAGCTCTTGATTGCTTATGATGCAGCAAGATCTTCGAAAACCAAGAAGCAGCTGTGTGGTAACACCTGCCTGTAAATCCAGCAGTTCGACACCAGACAAAGGCTCAGCAAGCCCCTATTTATGAAACAAACAAACAACAAAACAAACTGGAAAGCACAAGTCTCTAGCCATCACAGAAGAGCTGCAGTGCAAGCTGTTTGTCCCCTGATTGTTCACTCCTGCCCTCCTAGTGGGTATCTCACTACACTTCCTTTACCCAGTAACTTCAGAACGTGCTGCTGCTGAATGTAATTTCATAAACTTAGACCACTGTGGTCCTTGTTCTGTTTCAGTCAAAGCTAGTGTGGTATTCCAGAGTCTGCCTAATACAAATGCGAGCTTGAATTATACCATCTGTGCCAACTACCAAGAAATTAAAGGTTTATTTTTATGGTCTGGTGTAATGAGTGACTGTAACAAAGAGGGCATTGGGGCTGATCGGAAGCAGCTGTGTTCCCTGTCTGCCATTATGCCAGCCTGGCTCTAGAGAGGCCTTTCCTTGAGTCAGAGATGCCTCCAGGGCCATGCCTTATATATATATAAGAAGGGTTCTGAACTTCAAGAAACCGTCTTTGTACAGCTTAGTGATGTTCCTGTAAACATAACACACGAATGGTGGATGGTGACCAGCCAGGGTTACATAGAAAGATCCATGCCACCTGGGCTGTCTGTATTTTGAGACCCTGCCTCAAGAAAGAAAATGAAATGTTTTGGTTGGCATGTCAGCAATCAGAAAGGAGCCTGCCCTAGCCCCCTGCATGATGCTCTTTTGGTTGCCTCTAGATGGCGACATTGCCTAACCTGAAGAGCATATATACTTGGCTCTTTGGACAGTTTGTCCTACTAGGGCCTATTCAGTTTTACTTTGTGAGTAGAAACAGGCCAGGAGGACATGTTCTCCCGGGTGACACATGGATTTTCAGACTCGCGGGTGCTTCTGACAGTCTCACTTCTATGCTGACTTGGTTAAGGGATCTGAGGGTGACTGGAAGCTTTGAGAAAGTGAAATGCTTAAGCAATGAAAGGTCTCCCTGGCTTATACCTAGAGATTTAGAAAGAAGCACTGGAGAGGCTTTATTTCAGTCGAAGAAAGACAGATTATAACCAGTGCTCCCACAGCAGGATGGCTCTCGAGAAAATTCGGCCAGGCTATGAAACTGTCTTTGTTTCATGTAAGGCAGCTGGTCGGGTTACTCCCATGTTTTTATAGCAACAGTGACAGCATCCAGGCAAAGTTTAGAGTCTGATCCACCCAACTCTCCCTGACAGCCCATGCCCTGGGTTTTGTTCTGGAGTGTGTGTGTGTGTGCATGCGTGTACACACACAGATCCCCTGTATTAGGGTTCTCTAAGTAACAGAACAGACAGAATGAATATATATATATATATGGGATTTGGAGTGGCTTACAGGCTGTGGTCCAAGTAGCCAAACAACAGATGTCTCCTGCTGGGAAAGCCAAGGATGTAGTAGTCACTCCATCCTCCATCCAGAGACTGGATATCCCAGAAGTCCAGGTGCTGGAATCCCAAGGAGGTTCTAGAGAGCTGCCAATTTTCAGCCCACATTATAACCCTAAAAGGAAGATGTTAACACCGGCAAAGGAATGGCTCAAGATAAATAAGCTTGCCAGTGAGAGTGGGGGCAAACAAACAGAAAGCACAAGCTTCCTTCTTCCAAGTCTTTTTATGTGGCAGCCACCAGAAGGTGTGGCCAGATTTAAGACCCTCAAAAGATCCCAACTTAAGTGGGTCTTCCCACTTCAAATAGCCAGCCAAGAAAAATCCCTCACAGGTGTGCCCAGCCCTGTGGGTTTTAGATACTTCAACCCACATTAGCCATCCCATATCCCAGAAGCCAGCATGGGGTTTGAGAGGCTCAGGAGGCCTGGGGTAATGTATTTGGTCTTTTGGGAAGAGTCCCTACACACAGACACATAACTATGGCATTGGTGATGGAACCCAGGCCCTAGTACATGCAGGGAAGTATGGTGCTGTGAGGTGCACCCTGACCTTTACCACTTTATGTCATTTCTATATGCACTATATACACAATCATGGACTTCATTGTGACATTCTCATGCATGTACAGAATGTATCTTGATCATATTCACTACCCATCACCCTCTGTTGGCCCCCTCCCACCCCTGCTGGTCCTCTTACTCTTCCCAACCTTTCTACCTTCACTGGCTTTTCCCCCCTCACCACATATCTTAATGCAAATTCTGTACCCCACCCTACTCCCCTTTTTAATTGTTATTTTATGTGCATTGGTGTTTGCCTATGTATATTGGATGGGGTGTCAGATCCCCTGGAACTAGAGTTACAGACACTTGTGAGTTGTCATGTGGCTGCTGGGAATTGAACCTCTTAATCGCTGAGCCATCTCTTCAATCCCCCACACCCTTTTTTAAAAACTTTGTGGCCTCTAAATCCTCTCCCCTGTGTTCTTTCTCTTTGAAGATAAAGCATTCAAGCTTTTTTATGTATATGGGTGTTTTGCTTGAATGTGGGTGTGTGTGCCACATGTGTGCTCGGTGTTCATGGAGTTCAGAAGAGGGTATCCCATTGATGGATGGTTGTGAGCCACCATGTGGGTGCTGAGAAGTGAACCCAGGTCCTCTGAAAGGGTAAGAAATGTTCTTAACTGCTGAGCCATCTCCCCAGCCCCTACCCCTTTTAAAAATATTTGAAGCCGGGCGTTGGTGGCACGTGCCTTTAATCCCAACACTCGAGAGGCAGAGGCAAGCAGATCTCTTTGAATTCGAGGCCAGCCTGGTTTACAGAGCTAGTTCCAGGATAGGCTCCAAAGGTACAGAGAAACCCTGTCTCGAAAAACAAAAACACTAAAAATTTTTATTTTAAGAGTATGGGTGTCTTACCTGCATGGGTGTCCATGTTCTGCATTTGTGTAGTTCCTGCAGAGGCCAGAAGAGGCTGTCAGATCCCCTGGAACTGGAGTTATGTTAAGTGGGTGCTGCCCAGGACCTCTGCAAGAACAGCCAGTATTCTTAACTGCTGAACCAGCTCTCCAGTCCTCCTTTCTCTTTTTAATCTGTGTGCATGCATGCGCATTCATGTGAGTAAGTGGGGCGCGCCCTTCCACTGCACATGTGTGGAAATAAGAGGACAACGTCAAGTGTGTGGCATCCAGTCCTCACCTTGTTTGAGACCGGGTTACTTTGTCATTCATAGTTGTGTATGCCAGACTAGCTGATCCATAAACTTTCTGGGATTTTTCCAATCTCTATGTTCCATCTTGCAGTAGAAGGACTGGGGTTACAAAAGCATGCTACTGGCTTTACATGGGTTCTGGGGATTTGAACTCTGGTCTTCATGCTTTCATAATCTTCATTTATCCACAAAGCCATCTCCCCAGCCCTATAGTCTCTCATGACAGCTCATCGGGGATACAGGCTATCTGCAAATATCCCTATTTTGGATCCAGCACCAAGGCTGGAAATGGGAACTCACATAACCTTGTTTAAGGTCAGAAAAAAAACTGGAAGTAGGGCAAGAAGTAAATTCAAGACTGGTATGTCTGTCACTGGCTGCTATTGTTGTTGTTGTTATTGTTATTAATCTGGTAATGCTAAGACTGGCACCTGGGGGTTTTCCTACAGGCAGTCTACCAAGCCACATTTGGCCTCCATTGCTAGCTTTAACTGGTGATAAGTAGTATATTAGATTTGCAGCTTTAACTTCAGAAAGCCATATTGCTATGAAATATATGCACATTTTTCAGTCCATTGTGCTAGTTGAGAACTGATGACTCAATACAGAATAAACCCTGAAGCTACAAGCAGAGGAGGTGAGAAAGAAGGAGAACTAAGCTCAAACGAGAGAAGATTCAGCCTCCCATCATCCCATTTCCCCGGCTTGCACATCCCTCCTCCAGATTGGTTCTCACACAGGTTACTGGGCACCAAGTGTACCAGCCTGTCCCCACCCAAGCCCTGGGCTGCAGCAGCTAGACAGGGAAGGAATGGGGTTCGAATCCACTTTGTACTTTGGAAAGCAAGTAACTCCTATGCTTTCAGCCAAAGCTTCTGGAGAAGGATTGTTTCCAAAAGGGGGCTGTATGGGATGTTGCCAGGGTGCAGTTGGAAACGGTTTACTCAGAGAACTGTGACTGTCCTTACCATGAAATCAGTTGGATGCTCTTACATCATCCTCATGACTAAGGGCCAAGGAATCCAAACCACCACTATCCTCCCAAATGTTTTACTAGTCTGCCTTCTCTGGAGAAACACAAAGAAAGAGCCTTTTAGAGCCTTTTTTTTTTTTTTTTTTTGGCTTTGTTCTAGGATCTAACCCAGGCAGTAACATGCTAAATGAGTATACTACCAGTACCATATCCCCAAACCAAGAAAATGATAGTTCTTCCCAAATGTTTTTGTATCAACTTGTGCATACCATGGTTCTGTATGTTTGAGTAGACATTTGTTTCTTAAGTATTTATAATTACACCGTGTGTGCGTGACATGCTTGAGCACGAGTGTGCATATGGAGATGAGAGGACATCTTGCTGGAATCAGTGCTCTCCTTTGATTCCCTTCCATTCAGGGATTAAACTCAGGTCCTCATGTTTGCAGAGCAAACACTTCTTCCCACTGAGCCATTTCACCAGCATTCGAGCAGGCATTTACAAGGTGCTTACACTTAAGTTTCCCTTTAATGACTTAAGCATCCCCAGGGGCCTCAGGGGTCACACTTTCTTCCCTATAAAGGTCTGGACAGGTCAACGGAAGGAGCAGGAGTGATGATGCAACATCTTCCTTATATTTAATTTCCACCAGCCTGACTCTGAGATGCTTCAGCAGCAGATGGCTCGGTTTGGGTACCAAGTGCTTCTCAACTGTTAATGAGTTAGGCTACCCTGTGCCAGTTGCATGCTAGGTTTGTCCCCATCCCCATCCAACAATGGTGTGGTTCTGCAGCCTCAGAGCTCGACTTGACTGGGGGCTGCCAATTTCCAAAATAAAATCAATGTGTGACCTTATTCAGCAGATGTACCAAAGAAACAAGAGAAGATCAGGGCCAATTCTGAAGCCAAAAAGGGAAGATGAGAAGAGGGAGAGAGAGAGAGAGGAGGGGAGAGAAACTTGGCTGGACATGAAAGGTGTCTTGTCCGTCTGTTCCCCATTAGGAGCAATTCTCTCGCAATCTGCAGCCTCAACATAATTCTCTTGACCAGAAACTCTCCCAAGAGATAGTGTCAGAAGGAAAAACATCTTCTGACAGCAAAGTCGTTTAAAAACCTATTTGGGGGGTAGGGAGAAGGGAGTATGTCAACATTTCAGGAGAGGGCACTCTCCACAGCTGGCTACACATTGACTGGGCAAGACAGGAAGAGGGGCCCAGGGACGGCTGATGAGTAAGGCTAAGGCTGCC